CAGGAATGCAGGGATTATTCAACATTAGAAAATTAATTAATTTCACACACTACATCAATAGAATAAAGGAAAAGAAGCACATAATTATCTCTATGGATGCAGAAAGAGCATTTGATAAAATCCAACACCCTTTATTGATGAAAACTCTCAAGAAGAATGGAATAGAAGGGAAGTTCCTCAGTATGATTCAGGGCATATGTGTAAAGCCAACATTATACTTACTGGAGAAAGATTGAGAGCTTTCCCCCTAAAATCAGGTATAAGAAAATGGTGCCTGCTCACATCACTTCTATTGAATATTGTATTAGCAGTCTTAGCCAGAGCAATAAGACAAGAAAAGAAATAAAATATATCTAGATTGGAAAAGAAAAACTAAAATTATCTCTATTCACACATAACATGACCCTATATATATAAAATCCCAAACAGTCTGCAAGAAAGCTTCAAGAGCTAATAGAGGAATTCAGCAAAAATGCAGGGTACAAGGTCAAAAACTAAAAATAAATTGGGTTTTGAAACACTAGCAGTGAAAAATCAGAAAGGAGAATTAAGGAAATCATTACATTTATAATAGCATCTATGAGAATAAAATACCTAGGAATAAATTTAACCAGGGATATAAAAGACGTATGCAATGAAAATTATAAAACACTGCTGAAAGGGATTAAAGAAGACTTCAATAAATGGGAAGGTGTTCCACGTTCATGGATTGGAAGACTTAATATTATCAAGATGTCAATACTACCCGAAGTGATCTATAGATTCAATACAATCCCTATCAAAATTCCAAACAGCCTTCTTTACAGAAATGAAAAAGCCATCCCTAAACTTTATATGGAATAGCAAGAGACCCCCAAATAGCTAAAGCAATGTTGAAAGAGAAGAACAAAGTAGGAGGGCTCACACTTCCAGATTTTACAACAGATTATACAGGCACAGTACTCAAAACAGCCTGGTACTGGTATAACAGTAGATACATATACCAATGGAATAGAATTGAGAGTCCAAAAATAAGCCCACATATCTATGATCAACTGATTTTTGACAAAGGTGTTAAGTCCATTTGATGGGGAAAGAAGAGTCTTTTCAATAAATGGTGTTGGAAAAATTGGATTTCCACATGCAGAAAAATGAAACAGGAAACATGCCTCACAAGGTAAACAAAATGGGTTAAAGATCTAAATGTGAAAACTAAAACCATAAAATTCATAGAAGAAAATGCAGGGATAAGGCTGTTGGGCCTTGCTTTTAACAAAAGATTAATATAATAACAAAAGCACCAACAGCAAGAGACAAAATAAATAAATGGGACTGTACGAAAACTAAAAATTTTATTCATCAAAAGACTTTACCAAAAATTTGAAAAGACAAGCTACTGACTGTGAGAATATCTTCAGAAACCGTCTATCTGAAAGACAGTGTTCTACATTCTACCTTGGTGAGTAGTGTCTGGGGTCTTAAAAGCCTGTGAGCAGCTATCTAAGATACACCACTGGTCTCACCCTTTCGGGAGCAAGGGAAAATGAAGAGAACAGGTTACAAGGAGAAGATTAGTCCAAAGTACTAATAGACCACAGCTACCAAGGCCTCCACTAGACTGAGTCCAGTACAGCTAGATGGTGCCCGGCTACCACCACTGACTGCTCTGACCGGGATCACAACAGAGGGTCTTGGACAGAGCTGGAGAAGGATGTAGAACAAAATTCTAACTCACAAAAAAAGACCAGATTTACTGGCCTGACAGAGACTGGAGAAACCCTGAGAGTATGGCCCCTGGACACCCTTTTAGCCCAGTGGTGAAGTCACTCCTGAGGTTCACTGTTCAGCCGGGGATTGGACAGCCCCATAAAACAAATCAGGATTAATGAAGCACAGCATTCCAAGGACAAGGACTAGAAGGCAGGAAAGGACAGGAAAGCTGGTGATAGGGAATCCAAGGTTGAGAAAGGACAGTGTTGACATGTCGTGGGGTTAACCATTGTCATAGGGCAATATGTGTACTAATTGTTTAATAAGAAACTATTTTGTTCTGTAAACCTTCATCTAAAGTACAAAAAAAAAAAAAAAAGAATTATCTACGGGAGATCGAATTGACAACAGCAACTTGACGGGAAGCCTAGGGGACAGTGAGTTGAAGACAAAGGTGATGGAATAATTTGGAAAAGGATAGTGAGAATAGCAGTACAACTGGAAGAACATAATCTATGTCATTGAATTGTACATGTAGAAATTTTTGAAATGGTGTATCTTTGGCTATGTATATTTTCACCAAAAAAAAAAAAAAAAAGTCCTCCAAGTTCGAGAAGGGAGAGTGTTGACATGTCATAGGGTTGTTAACCAATATCATAAAACAATATGTGTACTGACTGTTTAATGAGAAACTATTTGTTCTGTAAACATTCAACTAAAGTACAATTAAAAAAAATAAGCAAAAGAAACCATCTGTCTGATAAGAATCTAACAATCAAAATATATATAAAACTTCAACAACTTAACAATGACGGGCCAAATAAGCTTATCATAAAATGAGCAAAGGACTTGAACAGACATTTCACCAAAGAAAATATTTGAATGGACACCAAAAACATAAAAAGATGGTCAACGTCATTAGCCTTCAGAGTGATGCAAATCAAAACCACAATGAGATATCATTTCACTCCAACTAGGATGGCTAAGATTAAAAAAAGAAAGAAAGAAATAGAGGGAGAGAGAAAGAGAGAAAGAAAGAAAGACATAAAGAAAGAAGGAAGGAAGACAGAAAGAAACGCAGAAAGAAATAAAGAAGGAAGGAAAGGAGAAAGGAAGGAAGGAAGAAAATTAACAAAGTTGGCAATTATATGGGGAAATTGGAACACTTCTCCATTTCTGGTGGGAATGAAAAATGGTACAACATTTGTGGAAAACAGTGTGGTGTTTCCTCAAAAAACTAAAAATAGAACTACCATGTGACCCAGCAATTCCACTCCTAGGAATATATCCAAAAGACTTGAAAGCAGAGACCCAAACACATACTTGTACACCGGTGTTCCTTACAGCACTATTCATAACAGCTAAAAGGTGGAAACAACCTAAACGTCCATCAACAGATGAATAGATAAACAACATTTGGTACATACATACAATGGAATGCTACTCAGCCAGTAAGAAAAATGAAGTCTTAATACATGCTATAATATAGACGGAGCTTGAAGACATTATGCTGAGTGAGAGAAGTCAATCACAAGGAAAAATTTTGAATGATCTCACTTATATAAAAATACACGAATAGTCAAATCTATAGAGACCAAAGTATATTAGTGGTTTCCAGGGGCAGGAGGGAGGAGGAAATGGGGGGTGATTATTATTTATGGCATACTGAGTTTCAGTTTATAGTGATGAAAAATCACATTGATTAAGTGTAGGTTGCAAGCGAATTAATGTAACTGCTGTCAATTAGTTGTACATCTGTAAAAAGTTGAATTGACACAAGTTGTGTGATAGATATACTGCAAAAAAAGAGTAGTTCCCGAGGCTGCTTATATGCAACCAAACATCTCATGGGGTTTGGTTCCCTGGGTTGGTGGTTTAGAGTCATGGTTTCATGAGACATCCCAGTTAACTGGCCTGATAATATGTTTAGTACTTATGTTCTAACTTCCAATTCATTGCGTAGTGCCTGGAGTCTTAAAAGTTTGCAAGCGGCTATCCATGGTACAGCAATTGGTCTCTATTTGCCTGGAGCAACAGAGAAAGGAGAGTCAAGAATAGAAGGGAGAAAATGGAATGAGATTTTAATTGCCTCCATGAACAACTGCTTCCTTTGCCATGAGACGAGAAAAACTGGATGGCACCTGGCTACCATTACTGAATGTCCTGATCTAAGATTCTATAGAAGAATCTCCTGATTCAAAGTGTGTGTGTGTGTTTTGGGGGGGGG